ACTGAGTTGGATTGAGTTGGACTGAGTTGGGTTGAGTTGAGTTGAACTGAGTTGGATTGAGTTGGACTGAGTTGGGATGGGTTGGGTTGGATTGAGTTGAACTGAGTTGGACTGAGTTGGATTGAGTTGGACTGAGTTGGATTGAGTTGGACTGAGTTGGATTGAGTTGGACTGAGTTGGATTGAGTTGGATTGAGTTGGACTGAGTTGGGATGAGTTGAGTTGGACTGAGTTGGGATGGGTTGAGTTGGACTGAGTTGGGATGGATTGAGTTGGACTGATTTGGGATGGGTTGAGTTGGACTGAGTTGGACTGAGTTGGATTGAGTTGGACTGAGTTGGGATGGATTGAGTTGGACTGAGTTGGGGTGGGTTGAACTGAATTGAGTTGAGTTGGACTGAGTTGGGTTGGGTTAGGTTAGGTTGGATTGGATTACACTGGACTGGACTAGACTGGGTAGAGTTTAGAAGTTCTGGGCCCCTGGTCTCAGTGCCAAGTCAGTGGTGCAGCAGGAGATAGTGGGAAGACAGGAAGCATAGTTCTATGCATAGCCAACTGTGCCAGGAAGTAAGAGGGCAGGCATCTTGCTCACCTTGAGGTCCCCAGAGATGTTGGCTCCTGCTAGGATGCCCGTGGCTGAGGGGAAGAAAATGGAGAACATCCCAAAGAAGCTGCCATCTACGCCTCGCCAGTCAGGCACCAAGTTCTGGACAAAAATGTCTCCTGGAAAACCAAGGCCTAACTAAGTCAGTCACTCTGGCCCCCCTCACTGGGCCCAGCTGGGGCATTTGGTTGGCTCCCCTGGCCATGCAACTCAGGTGTCCCACCCTCCCAGCGTCCACAAGATGGACCAGATTTGTGGTGGTCTGTTCCCCCCTCAAAAGCTGTGGGCAGGGACCCCAAAATACACATACCTCGGTAGCTGAAGAAGCCTTTGGAAGCCTTGTCTTCAGATGGGGGAATCAGTGTCCCCACCAGGTAGTTGGCAAAGGAAATCATGATGATGAGAAAGAACAGCACCTGGGCCTGGGAAGCAGAGGCAGGTCAGACTGTGGGCCCTGTCTGCTCCGGGAGCTCCAGCAGAGAAAGACTTGCCCAAGGCCCCCACTCATTTCATTCACTCGTTCAGTCCTTCTATACCCACTGTGGGCAGAATTTATTCAAGAAGCCGAGCTAGACAGCCAGGGCCTCTGTCTTGTCGATTATCTGTAAGACGAAGTCAGAGTAAGAAAAGGGCATAGTGGGGACAGTGTTGGGGACCAGGGAAGGACATTTGAACAGAGGCCTGAAGGAGGAGGAGGAGTGAGCCATAGAATGATCTGGGGGTACACTTGGGGCATTCAGTGAGCAACGAAGAAGACAGTGTCTAATGTGCAGAGAACCTGGGTGCAGAGAGAATGGAGAGACAGGGTCTGAGGGTTAGCAGGGGCCATAGCACGCCAAACCTCCCAGCTACAGCCCAACGTGTCTTCTTCCCTGACTTCATAGTAATAAACTTCTCGTATTTGGCTGGATAAAATTTCAAAAACGGCCACTCCAACTCACATGGACCCCATGTGCCGCCCAGGGTTTTTAGTGGCTGATTTTTTGGAAGTAGATCTCCAAGCCTTTCTTCCAAGTTACCTGTGGGTAGACTAGAACTTCCAGTCTTTCAAGTGTGTTAATCCTGGGACTCTGTTAGGCTGGATATGTGGTTCAAGTAGAGACCACACCTCCCCAGCCTCCCTTGCGGCTGTGTGTGGCTACAAGACTGTGCTGTGGTCAATGGGCTGGAAGTAGAAGTAACCTGTGAAGCTTCCAGGCTGTACTGTAAAAGGAAAGGTATGTGGAGGTGTGTCCAGTGGGGATCAGGTGGGTGACATCACACCCAGGGGTGGGAGGAGCTTGGGTGCCTGACATTCTCGACAATGCACAGTAGAATGATTGGAGAGACAGAAAGAGGCAGCTCTCCTGCTTAAGGGCTCTTTGTCACAGCAGCAGAACTTCCAGCCCAGCTAATACTCACAAGGTGAGCAGAGCTGGGACGAGACCTCAGGTCTCACAACTTCCCCACATGACCATGCCCCGCCCCCAGCCTGGCCTTCCTCACCTTGGACTCCCACTCCATGCCGGCCAGAGAGATACCCAGCAGTATAGTGACAGTGACCACCCCGATGATTCGGATGTCGTTGGTGGGGTCCACGATGGGCGAACCGTACTCCTGGGGGAGGGGACAGGCCAGGCAGCAGCTGCCCTCCAAACCCCACTCCCAAGGAGCCCTCTGTGTCAGAGCCCCCGCCCCCACCCCAAGCAGCTGCTGCATTGGGCAGGACAACACACACTCCTGGAAGGGATGGTGGGGTGCTCTTGTCTTGATGAGACCCAGCAGTGGTTAGATGGTGACCTTGGTCCCTGGTAGATTCCCTGCTAGATGAAACCAGGCAGGACGTGGGAAGGCCCAGCCAGATGAGTGAGGGGTCCAGGTTAGGATGAGGAGCCCAGGGTCCAGCCCATCCTCACCAGGAGCAGGTCCCGCACGGTCTCCGCAAAGCCCACAGTGTGCATGGCCACAGCCACGGCGTTGGCGAAAGCAAAGATGAGGCCAATGGAGCCCCCCAGCTCTGGGCCAAGACTTCGGGAGATGAGGAAGTAGGTGCCACCTAAGGGGGCCAGAACCCAAAGCCATGAAACCAGAGGGGCCAGCTGGCTGGGGTGGGCTCTGGATAAACAGAAGCTGAGACTGATAGCAGGGCCCACAGGGCAGGGTGACCAAGAGGCCATCCTTGTGGGACTGAACTGGAAGCTTCCCAGTTGGGAAGGGGCACTTCAGGGAGCTGTTCCCAGGACAAAAACTGGGAAGTTTGCCAGAGCAGGACCTGGGAGGTATGGGGAGGGGCAGTTAGGGGCCTTGGGGACCTACCTGACTTGACCTTGCCGTTGGTGGAGATGGCGGAGATGGAGAGGCCTGTGATGGAGGTCACCATGACAGAGAGCAGGATGATAATCCAGGTGAGGACTGTGGGAGCACCCCAAAACTCAGTCAGGCATTTCCCGGGCGCAGAGAAACCATTAGAGGAGCTGGAGTCTGTCCACTAATTCACTGTGTGACGTAAGTCACTTCCCTGCTCTGAGTCTCAGTTTTCTCGTCTGGAAAATGGGTCTCTGTCTATCTCCTAGCATGTTCTAAATAGCCAGGGAGGTGATGAACCAACATCCCCTTTAACTACTGATAAGAAAATAAAGCAGTAGTCACGACTTGGTGAGCAGCTCTGGGGGCCAACCAAGTCCAGAAACTCCACAAGAACGCTGTCAGGTGGGTGTAGTTACTGGTGTTGTTTGCTGCCATTGAGTTGGCCCCTGACTCGTGGTGACCCCATTCACATCAGTGAAGCACCTTCCTGCACACACACACACACACACACACACACACACACACACCATGATCAGTTGCAGATCAAACCCCTGCAGTTTATAGACTTTTCTGCAGCTGATTTTTGACATTGATTGTTAGTCCTCTCCTCTTAGCTGGAAGCGCTGCTGAAAATTGTCTCACATCCTAGCAATACACGCATCTCCACTAGCAGAGAGGTGGTGGTGTTGTTGAGTGCTGTCGAGTCGGTCCCTGTATAGGGTCTCACCCACGCTGGGAGAGTAGGATTCAGTAACAGGTGTTACCATCCCCATTTCATTGATAAAGAAATCAAGGTTCAGACAGGTTAAGAAACTTGCCCTAGATCATTCAGCATGATGTAGACCTAGCATCTGAACCCTGGTCTGTTCAGAGTTCAAGCCTCGAGTCCCCATGCTCTGCAGTAACAATTGGCTCAAAGAGGCTAAAGGACTTACTTGAGGGCAAACAGACCAGGAGGAGCTGCTCTCTCCATGCCCAGTATTCTCTGCCACACACCCTGCTATCTATCAAGGCAGGACTGGAGGTGAGCTGAGGAGGGGCAGACCTGGCCCTGGTCTCTGCAGCCTAGGTTGAGCTCACGCCAGGGACTTTAGAGGACCAGGACTTGAGCACTCACCAATGCCTGCCTGGGCAGTAATCCAGGGGAGCCGCAGGTAGAGGATCACACCCCAGATGTTGAGCATGCAGCGGATCTGTGAGAAGAGTGGGTCAGAGGTGCCTGGATGGACCAGACATCCCAAGCCCAAAGATATAGGTCATGGCATTGAGTACCTGGATCCCAGGTACCCTGGACCTTTGCTTTACCCACTTCCACAAGCTCTGGCTTTCTGGTTCTGTGACACCTGCCCTCCCACCTACTCTCTCAGTCTCCACTGAAGGATGGAGACAGGCTAAAGCATCTTCACCCTTCATTCCCATTTGTTCCAAGCTGCTGACCAAAAGTCTGTTTGCCCCAGCAACAGCCCTGAGAGGCCAGCTGCTGGGCCAGGGCCTGGCATGTAAGAAGAGCTCAGCAAATGCCCCACATTCGAGCAGAAATCAGAGCTCGGCTTCCTGTGACTTCAGTTTCCAAATTTAAAGCAAAGCCAGAGGCCAGAGTTGAAGCCACCGTTCTGTGTGAGACAGACCGATGTGGTACTCAGCCCTAGCTACAATGTGGGTGATCACAGCACAGGGTGTTAATAACTATGGAGACTTAGAAGACACCCCCCACCCCCACCCCCACCCCCAGTCTGCTCTAAGGCACTAAAAGGAGATTGCACAGGCTCTGACTAACACAGTCTGGGAGGGAGACCCTGACTCTGGATCTCAGCCTCTGGGTTGGGAGAGGAGAAGGGTATACCATTCTGATGGGGAAACCAAGGCATAGTTAGTCCGCAGCAGAGACCAGAACCCAGGTGCCCTGCCTGCTAGGGCAGGGCTAAAGCATTCTCCTACATCTTATGTAGTTCCTTCTGTAAAACCTCATAATGTCTTCCCAAACCGAGTTCATTGAACTGTGGGAATGGTGCTGTAGGGTAAGCACTGGACTGCTATCTGCAAGGTCAGTGATTCAAATCGACCATCCAGTCCTTGAAAACCCTGTATAGAGTGGCTACGAGTCGGAACCAACTCCAGGGCACTTATCAACAGCAACACACTATAGCAAATCTTCCCGTGGTAAAGGACAAGGAAGGGAGAAACGCCACAGTTGTGGAATGTTTTGTTTAATGCTGCCCCCTAGTGGTACTTTGAGGAAACAGTTTCTCCTAATAACTGGCAAATTTGATGTAATAACTCTTTATCTATTTCCTCATTTACTGCTCATTTAACCTATAAGTAAGAAGCACTGATGGCACTGTGGGATAAGTACTGGACTGGTAACTGAAAGGTCAGCAGTTCAAACCCACCAGCAGCTCCACAAGAGAGAGGCTTTCTGTTCCCTTAAAGATTTATAGCCTCAGAAACCCTATACTGGGGTCACTATAAGTCAGAACCAACTCGACAGCAACAACAACTGACAAGTAACCTCAACCCATGCCCACTGCCGTGTCCAGGCTGATTCATAGTGACCCTGTAGCACAGAACAACACTGCCCCCTAGTGGTTCCGAGTCTGTAACTCTCCATGGGAGCAGGCTGCCACATCAGGTGAGTTTGAACCACCCTGACCATTTGGTTAGCAGCCCAATGCTTAATCCACTGGACCTCAAAGCCACACACCAAGTAAGTGGTCAAGCCAAACCAGGATTCAAATCGGGGTCACTAGCTTCCAGGTTCCTACTCTTAAGGAGTGGGCTGGTGCGGGGAGGGAATCACAGGACCCTGACCGTGGCCTGGATTCAGCCTGGGTGCAAATGAAGGTCCGGGTGCGCAGATAGGGAAACCAAGGCCTAGGCTGGGGCCTATGGGTAAGTGCTGAGCCTAGGGGGAGCTCTGTCTCCACACGCCCCCTCCTGGGCATACACACCCCTGCACACTCCACTCACCATCACACCCTTGACCCAGCCGAAGCGCACGGGCTCCCCAAGTTCCTTCTTGGCATTAGCACCTGCCTCGTCCTCCACCAGCCCATCGGTCATCTCATGGCTGGGCCGGCTGTCGAAGGCCAAGGCATGCAGGTGACTACCTTCCTGTTGGGAGCCCAGAGGTCAGGGGTCAGTCAGGTGGGGAAGTATGGGGCACCCCGGGCTCTTCGGCCTCTCTGGAGCTTTTGGAAAGCTCTACGGCTGCAATGGGGAACCCATGCCACCGGAAGCTGAGAGTCTGGGGTGTCTCTCTTCATAACACTGTTTCCCACCAGAAAGCAGGGGGCCTGCGGAGGAACAGCGCTGGGCTGTTGTCATGTTCCCCTTTCCTGAAGAGTCGACACAGCTTGTCCAAAACCACACAGTGGGTCCCTGACAGAGCTGGGGTGTGAACCCAGGTCTCCACCTCAGGGGTGTCCTGTTTGTGCTGAGAAGCCTGAAGCCCCATTTAGGATTTTCTTACAGACCTGTCATCTCAATAGCTCTGGGTGGAACAAAATCTCTATCTGGCCATGAGAGCCAGAAAGTAAGCTCAGGGGAGAGGAAGAGTCCTGGGAATTTTGTGAGTCTCAATCCCAGAATCAAGAGTGATTCAGCCCATTGGTCAAATGGGAAAAGTGAGGTGTGAGGGTGGGGGCGACCCAGCTCCCGGCTTTCCATCCTCCACAATTGAGCCTCCCAGGCAGCAAGCCCAGTGAGCCCCTCTCTGATGCAGACATTCCCTTCCCCTCTTCTCCCCTTGTCTTTCAAGTGTGTGCAACCTCTGCTTGCATGCCTCCACTGACTGGGAGCTCATTACCTCTTTATGCTGCCCATTCTACCTCTGGACTGCCAGTGACCGGACAATGAGAGGTGCAATATTTATGCAACAGGTTCCCAGGGCTTCACAGCCTTTACCTACACTATTTCGTTTAGGGTTCTCAACCCATGAGGCAGATACTCGTCCCCCTGGGCCAGATTACAAACTGAGGCACAGAGAGGTCAGGTAACTGGGCCCAGACCACACATCAGACTGTGGCTATCTCCTGACATCGTGCTTACCTTGAGGAAGGAGTGCAGGTCGGCCAACGTGGGCCGAACCTTGCGGGGCTCTCCCGGCAGGGCACTGTTGGCATAGTGCTCGTAGGTGGGCACCACATCAATGGTATTGTACCCAAAGGTGCGCATGTAGAAAGTGCTGCCGTGGGTCAGGTGGCTGGGCTGGCTGTTGTCATAGGCAGCAGGTGGTGGGGGTTCGTCACCCCCTAACAACGTGCTGATAGTGAAGCGTCCACTACACAGGGCTGGGTTCCCCGGTGTCTCCGTGGCTGGCAGCTCTGCCATTGTGGCTTTGGGTATCAGGGGAGGGGGCCAGGGTCGGCGGGGGCACCAAGGATGGCTTTATAGGGTGGACCTGAAGCAGGGAGGAGGCAGGGAGGTTGGTGCAAACCGCCTACAGCTGGCAAGCAGGGTCCCCAGATGGGGTTGGAGGTAGGAGCACGTGCCCATTAGATCGCTCAGATAGCAGCCTGCCGGGGACAGGAAGGGCAGACTGGCCCCGAGCCAGGCACAGAGCTGCTGCTGAGAGGGGGAGCTGAGCCAGCCCCTGGGTCCTGGAGGGACAGCAGAGATCACCAATCTGGACCCAGGAAGGAGCAGATCCCAGAGAGGACCTGAAGGCCTAAGGACCCACTAGGGGTCTCACCCTGGCAAATGCAAAGTCACTCATCTAAGAATAGCGTTCTGTATTTAAGGTACGATGGTACTGTGTCGTGGAGTCTTTCTAACTCATGGTGACCCTGTATAGCGTTTTCAAGGCTGTAAATCTTTATGGGAGCAGAAAGTCTCGTCTTGTTCCCACAATGCACCTGGCAGACTTGAACTGCTGATCTCGCGGTCAGCTGCCCAACTCGTAACCTACTATACTACCAGGGCTCCTTATTTAAGGTAACAAAAAAGGTAGCACTATAGGATAAGCATTGGACTGCTAACCACAAGGTCGGCAGTTCAAATCAACTAGCTCTCCATAGGATTCCAGTGAAGATTTACAGCCTAGGATACCCTATACCGGGTCACTATGGGTTGGAACAGACTTGATGGCAGTGGGTGGGTTGGTATATAAAGAAGGACCCCTGGTGATGCTGTGGGTTAGGCATTGGTCTGCCTAACTGAAAGGTTAATGGTTCAAACCCACCAGCCACTTTGCTGGGGAAAGATGAGGCTGTCTGCTTCCATACAGAGTTACAGTCTCAGAGACTCTATATACAGGGCCGCCGTGAGTCTCAGAAACTATATATACAGGGCCGCCGTGAGTC